ACACACACACACAGAGAAACACACACACACACACACACACACACAAACAAACACACAGAGAGAGCGAGAGAGAGAGAGAGAGAGAAACACACACACACACAAACAGAGAGAGAGAGAGAGAGAGAGAGAAACACACACACACACGGTCAAAAGTATCAGTAAGATTTGTAATGTTTTTTAAATAAGTCTCTTCTGCTCACCAAAGCTGCACTTATGTGATGATTTCTGAAGGATCATGTGACACTGAAGACTGGAGTAATGATGCTGAAAATTCAGCTTTGATCACAGCAATAAATTACATTTTACAATATATTCACATAGACAATGGTTCTTTTAAATTGTAATAATATTTCACTATTTTAAAGTATTTTTGATCAAATAAATGCAGCCTTGGTGAGAAGAAGAGACTCAAAAAAGAGGGAAAAAAAACTTCTGACAGTAATATTTCAATGCCCATATTATTACAGTTTGTTTCAACTGCTTACACACATTTTCAAAACTTTGCCTCTTTTTTTCCAAAACTTTACACACAAATCTAAGAATTGCACTCACAAAATGCCTCACATCTTTCGCAAAATGAAGCACTGCATTCAAAATATCACAAACACATCTCAAAAGCAAACATTTGCAAAACCGTTTGCCATAATATTAATTCCTGTTAGATTTTTGTGTGTTATATAGAGAATTGTGTTGTGTTTTGCAAAAAGTGTTTTATAAAATTGAAAACTGATCCAAAGGCTGAGAATTAGAAATATGGTTTTGCAGATTTGGTGTGTGCTTCTGCTGTTTGAGTGTCAGCTTTCAGAAACTGTGTGACGACAAGTAAAGATTTTGTGTAAGCAGTTGAAAAAAACCCTGTAATTATTAAATAATACATTAACCATCCACTAAACAGCCACACGGGGGTGCTATTATCTCCCCACTTATGTTTGTCAAACAGCAGGGATATAACTAAAGACAGGACAAACTAACAAAAACATAAAAACAACTGCGGAGCACGCCACGGAGGCAGCCATCAGCGTCGGCGCCATCTTGGACCGGTATCGGCAAAATCCACTATCGGTCGACCTCTAGTAAATATCCACACCGGTGCGGTGACTGACTGCCACACATACTCTTCAGAACATTAGATTCATCCATGCTGGGGCCGTGCCGGAGAACA